CCCCAAAACCCCAAAACCCCAAAACCCCAAAACCCCTTAAAATTTCAGAATCTTGGAATTTTAATTTAATTTTGCAGTTTTCATGGAAGCCACAAAGACATTTGATCTACAAACACAGAAGCACAAGTCTAATGCAGAGGTAAATCTGACCTCAATCAGCCTAACTGTTCTATAGGGGTTAAGTTTCGATGAACTTTACGAGGTAATTTTTAAAGAATTTTAGCTACCTTTCCGCCCAAATTATGTGCTTAGATGTTATAGAGCCTAACCAAAGGAGTCTGCGGTAGAGGAAGTCAGACTAAGATACCTGAAATTAGGGACGGTAAGCACTCTTTTAACATTTTTTGAAGCTTTTTAGGCATATTGGTATCATCCACACCTCCCAGAGTTAATACTAAAGAAATTGAAGTCGATGCTTTCTTAGTGGAGTCATTTAGTAAAAAATCAAACAAAGGCAAATAAACCAAAGAAGAAGTAATATTTAGCTAAAGTTTAGAGAGCAACTGAATGGGCTTAGGCAAGAAAATGAAGAATTACGCAAGCAGATTAATGACTTAAAGGTTACCCTTAAGATTAATAAAGATTGTATGAATATTATGCTAGAGCCATCTAATAGATTTCAGCAGATAAATATTGTAAATTCTTTCGTAAAGGAAAACATCAAGTTGCAAAATGAGGTCTTTAGAGTGCAAAAATAAGTTAATAGCAGTTCTCCACTCTCAAATTCTCCAAAAGAAAGACAGTTTCGTTATCAAGAAAGACAGTTTTCATCAAAAGAAAATCGACGACATAGAATTACCTACTAAGCCCATTGAGAAGAGTGCCCCTTGTCAGAATCCTGAGCAGGATGAGCCAGAGATTCCTTCTCCGCAAACCGAATACATTTCTCAGCTAAAGGACAACAATAAAGTTCTGAAAGACCTGATCAGGAACAAGAACAAAGAAATAGTCTCACTTGAGATGACAATTAAATAAGGATAAAATAAGCCAAAGGAAGGAAATGATGGAGTGTAAATAAGGAAAAGAATGACATGAAGGCTAAACTCAAGAAATACCAGGACTTTGTCAAGGGTCTCCTTGGCAATTACATGGATGTCGCCATCCCTGTCATCACTGATGACATTCATATCGTCACTGATTGATCTCATCTGATGTGGATTCCTGAGAAATTAGTTGAAACTCAGTCACTATTTCAGGCTGATAAAGTCCTCCCAGAGGGATTTGAGGAAAGCCTTGAGAAGCTCAAGGAAGAAATCAAGAATATGCAAGATCAAGGCGAAGGAGATCAAGAAGAAGAGTTTGATGACGACCAAGAAGAAAATGATCAGGCTAATTTTGATGACCAAATTATCAATTTCACAGAACCAGTTTTGAACAGTACTGAGCGAGTTTGATTTTTTAGGGCATAAAGTTAGTAGAGGAAATAGTGCCACTGTAATAATGATGGGACAAGAAGAAGCAGAGAGATTCTTCTCCTCGAGATTGGATAATAATACCTTTTATCAGCAGAGTAGAGGGACTGTAAGGTATGTCAGCAATGTCCCTGAGTCTTTTAACCAACTCAAATATCTCAAGACCTTTAAAGATAAAGGAAAATGGAAATTAGCTCCAAAAGATCAAGACAAAAATGAATTTGATGAGTCCGAAAATGATGAAGAGTATTACGAATATGATGATTACGAGGATGAGCTGGAAAATAATGGATATGGAGGAGCTGTTGATAGTTCTAGAGAGGACAATAAAAGCTCATCAATTTCCCCCAAGAACAAAGAGACTAATGGTATATCAATCACCAACTTGAACAAGTTCTATAAAAAGTAAACTATTCTGTAAGATTAATTATATAATTTTTAGGGGTTTTGGGGTTTTGGGGTTTTGGGGTTTTGGGGTTTTGGGG